AAACCTAACAAAAGATGTGAAAAGACCTCTACAAGGAAAACTATACACTTCTGAAGAAAGAGATTGAGGAAGACTATAGAAAGTGGAGAGATCTCCCATGCTCATGGATTGGTAGAATCAACATAGTAAAAAATGTCGATACTCCCAAAAGTAATCTACATGTTTAATGCAATTCCATCAAAATTCCAATGACATTCATTAAGAGATTGAAAAATCTACTGTTAAATTTATATGGAAACACAAGAGGCCACGAATAGCCAAGGCAATACTCAGTCAAAAGAACAATGCAGGAGGTATCACAATACCTGACTTCAAACTATATTACAAAGCAATAACAATAAAAACAGCATGGTACTGGCACAAAAACAGACATGAAGACCAGTGGAACAGAATAGAGGACCAGATATGAAGCCACACAACTATAATCAACTTGTCTTTGACAAAGGAGCTAAAAATATACGATGGAGAAATAGCAGCCTCTTCAACAAAAACTGCTGGGAAAACTGGTTAGCAGTCTGCAAAAAAACTGAAACTAGATCCATGTATATCACCCTATACCAAGATTAACTCAAAATGGATCAAGGATCTTAATATCAGACCCCAAACTCTAAGTTGATACAGGAAAGAGTAGGAAATACTCTGGAGTTAGTAGGTATAGGTAAGAACTTTCTCAATGAACCCCAGCAGCACAGCAACTAAGAGATAGCATAGATAAATGGGACCCATAAAACTAAAAAGCTTCTGTTCATCAAAAGAAATGGTCTCTAAACTGAAGAGAACACCCACAGAGTGGGAGAAAATATTTGCCAGCTACACATCAGACAAAGGACTGATAACCAGAATATATAGGGAACTTAAAAAACTAAATTCTCCCAAAACTAATGAACCAATAAAGAAATGGGCAAGTGAACTAAACAGAACTTTCTCAAAAGAAGAAATTCAAATGGCCAAAAAACACATGAAAAAATGCTCACCATCTCTAGCAATAAAGGAAATGCAAATTAAAACCCACTAAGATTCCACCTCACCCCTGTTAGAATAGCCATCATCAGCAACACCACCAACAACAGGTGTTGGCGAGGATGCGGGGAAAAAGGAACCCTCTTACACTGTTGGTGGGAATGTAAACTAGTACAACCACTCTGGAAAAAAAATTTGGAGGCTACTTAAAAAGCTAAATTGATCTACCATTTGATCCAGCAATACCACTCTCTGGGGATATACCCAAAAGACTGTGACACAGGTTACTCCAGAGGCACCTGCACACCCATGTTTATTGCGGCACTATTCACAATAGCCAAGTTATGGAAACAGCCAAGATGCCCCACACTGACGAATGGATTAAGAAAATGTGGTATCTATACACAATGGAATTTTATGCAGCCATGAAGAAGAACGAAATGTTATCATTCGCTGGTAAATGGATGGAATTGGAGAACATCATTCTGAGTGAGGTTAGCCTGGCCCAAAAGACCAAAAATCGTATGTTCTCCCTCATATGTGGACATTAGATCAAGGGCAAACACAACAAGGGATTGGACTTGAGCACATGATAAAAGGAGAGCAGAGCAGAGCACAAGGGAGGGGAGGATAGGTAAGACACCTAAAAAACTAGCTAGCATTTGTTGCCCTTAACGCAGAGAAACTAAAGCAGATACCTTAAAAGCAACTGAGGCCAATAGGAAAAGGGGACCAGGAACTAGAGAAAAGGTTAGATCAAAAAGAATTAACCTAGAAGGTAACACCACGCACAGGAAATCAATGTGAGTCAATGCCCTGTATAGCTATCCTTATCTCAACCAGCAAAAACCCTTGTTCCTTCCTATTATTGCTTATACTCTCTCTACAACAAAATTAGAAATAAGGGCAAAATAGTTTCTGCTGGTATTGAGGGGGGGGGGAGAGGGAGGGGGCGGAGTGGGTGGTAAGGGAGGGGGTGGGGGCAGGGGGAGAAATGACCCAAGCCTTGTATGCACATATGAATAATAAAGAAAAAAAAAAAAACTAAAAAAAAAAAAAAAAAAAAAAGAAAAGCAAGAAAATGGAGGAATGCATTAAAGCCAGTGGCCATTATAGGTTCCTGGGTAACACACATCCCTGAAGGCTTCTGGAAACTTCCCAAGGTTGATCATTCTGTCTTTGGTTTGAGACCTAGCTGCAAGACTTTCAACAAATGCCATTGTTCCGTTTAATTCAACAGTGTTTTATTATATTAGATATCAAAGAATTTTTTATCATTTGTTTACATCTACTTACATGTAATAATACAGTAATTGGGTCACATACATGCACCAGGAGCAAGAATCTTGACACATGTTCTGGTTCCTAAGAAATGGGGGTGGGGGAAATGATAGACCTATAATGGAATGGTAACGAGACCTTTAAGGATTCTCCCTATCTAACCACAGACAGTTGTGCTCATAGTCCTTGTTAGCAAAGCCATTGCAACAATGCAACACAGGTATTTTAGGATACAGTCTAGTGACCTTCTTGCCTAAATCTTTAGGGAAGTTTTAGTAGAAAAAATGTCAAAATATGACAGTGTGTGTTCCATTTCTGACAGATTTTTAGTAAGATCCCTAATGAATGAACTTGGCTTCAGCCAAAGTGGACTACAATGAATATGGAGAAAAATTCTGACTCACTTAGACTGGCTTTAATCCTAGTAGAAATCAAGATGACATTGAATCAGATAAATCATGAGGACCATAAAATTTTGATTTCTCAGGCAAGTATGTTGCCTTCACGCTATAATCCAGGCACTTGGGAGGCTGAAGCCAGGGGATCACAAGTTCAAAGGCAAGCCTGGTTACAAAACAAGTTTGGAAACCACCCTGGGCTAATAATAATGCAGACCCTGCTTTCATGAAAAAAATAATAATAAAAGAATGAAATGTTGAATTCTGCTTGGCCCTGAGTCAATGATAATGTTAGCAACACAGGAAGAAAGAAAGGAAATATATAGCAAAAGATAAGAATTAGACGCAGAGATTAGGGGAAGTCATCAAAGTTGGGTACGTCTAAGAACTCCCAGTACAAAACTGGTAAAAGGGCTAAGCCCTAGGATAAAGCCAAAGAATAAGAAAAACTAAACTTTGCCTCCATCTCAGGGGAAAAAAGAAAAAAGCAGCAAAATTAGGGTTAGAGGGTGGGCAGAAGACAAGAACAGTACTTCCTTAGAGAGAAAACCCCCGACTAGGGTCAAAGTAAAGGATCAACCAAGGAGTAGAGCAGCAATTTGGAAAATAAATTCTATCACCGTCTATCAAATCTCCAAGTAAGTAATCCACAACCTAAAAGAATTTGAGATGCTGAAATAATATACCACTTATCAAAAATCCTACCCAGGTGGCTTTCAAATGGTGTCCATGAATTTCAAGAGGAAAAAAAGCGAAGTTCAAGAGAAGCTAGGCAAACAAAGTAAAGTATATTAACTACGCACACATTCTGATGTTTGAAGGGGGAAAAAATCTAAATCACAGAACAATAATACCTAAACAACAACAACTCTGTAAACACTCAAAACTATCAGCAACCTAGCACCAATCAGCAAAAAGATTTAGATGCATACAACGGGGGGGGGGGGGAGCAAACAGAAAAAGATTACCCTGTAAAGAGATTCAAGTGGTTAGAATAAATTTAGGAAGAAACTATATTTCTTTGAGTTTTCACTAAGAGAAACACTTTGAATTTTACAAAGAGTCTAGATCAATAAGAATGTTTTATTTTAAAACCACCTTACTCCTATCAGTTTATTAAACCATGGCTGACTGGGAGAGGTAGAACTACCAAAACAGGAGCATCTTGAAAAGGAGCTGCTGGAAAGAAGCCTGAGTGTGCTTGCTTTCCTCTGTGAGAAGTGAGGGCAGACACATACTAATGCCAAGAGTCATGGCAGCTCCTGTGGTAAGAACTAAGAGCGGCCCTGCCAAGCAGCACCACTGGCATGAGCAATCCTTTTTCTTACATCTTTCCGTGGACCTCTGTCTCTCACAAGCAACGTAACCTACACTGTGTTTCCATCCAATAGCAAGACACTGGAGACAGAGAAAATTTCCCAGTTCTTAAGCAGATTGGCTAAATCTGTCACTTAACTAAAGAGAGGGGAAAATGTAATTCCCCTCAGAATATAAACACATTCTATCATCATTTTTCATTAACTGCCTTAAGAAAATAGCATTAAAGACAAACTCGACAAAGTATAATTTGTGTGGCTGTGAGAAAGGAAAAAACATAGGGTGGGTGGGGTCATGGATGAGTAAAAGCAGGCCCTGGAATGCATCCTGCCTAAAGAATATTTTAACACTAGATGAACAATGAGGCATTCATTTGGCTTTATTACAACAGTGCTGGGTAGTGAGAGAAGCCGGGGCACAGTTCTCATGGAGATGAGATGGCCCTGGAGGTTGAACAACAGTTGGAATACAGCTGCCATGACTCAAACCAGGCAGTACAGATGTCATACAAAGAGGGGAAGTGATTTCATACCATTCCATCTGCCAAAATTCAAACAACACCAGCACAAGGTGAAAGAGGTTTTGAAATAGACTAGATAACTATTTTAAACACTAGTCTTTTGAGTGTAACTAAAATTTTTTGGTGGTGAGATCCTAAACAATAGTTATTATTTGGTTTAAAGAGCTCATGAAAAATCTTTCCTGCTCTGGCAAAACAGAAACAATCTGACATGCTGGCTCAGAAAGCGTTTCAGCCACATCAAGTTCAGTCACTGCGGTTAAAACTTTGTTAATTCCAAACGTTTGTTTAAAAAATGTCCATTGTCAATGGCAATTTTTCCCTTTTTTTTCTTCTTTAACTGTTTTCCTTATACGTAAACTAATCAATTTTCAATGTTTGTAACTGAATATTTGGATAAGATGATATACTTAAAAACACATGTGCCACAGGCCAAGACATTCTTTCCCATTAGAAAGATACAACACAGGGGAAGGACAGTCCTCTCTCTCTAACACACAGTCACACACACACCACAAACTTACCAAATGCCTTCTTAGGTTCTAATTAATGGTGCATGGTAAAGAGTTCCTCCTGTTTTAATTCTTTTAGCTTCTTAGCAACTTCAAAGTGACGTTTTCCCCAATGATATTTTCCTCCAATTTATGGACTCAATGTGATCTCCCACACAGATTGTTTTTACCTGAGTCAGCAATGCTACATTTTAAATTCCTGAAGAAAGAAAAAATAAATGGAAGTATGGAACCTTAATTTTTAATGGCTCTTAAGATTACGTATCAAAATTGGTATATATATATAATAAACTTTATAATGCAGTTTAATGCTCAGTTAAAGGTGGAAAACCAAGCAACAGAAAACCATACCCTACCTCAACGCCATTCTCTTCATCTTCTTACCATTTTAGAATTCGCTACCTCACAGCCACCATCTCTGGGAAGTTTTTCCTGACTTCCCAACCCATTCCCCCAAGAGTAAACTTTTTGCTATGTCTACTGAAGCTCTCAGTAAGCAGTTCACATATTTCCATTTCACTTTAATTCTATTTAACAACTATGTATGAGACTCTCACATCACAGATGAGGAAGATGGAGCCTTGGGAAGATCAAGTGATTTGCCGCTTCAACATACACAGTGCAATGTTTCCAGTACTTCTTGCTCTCCATTACTAAACTGTAATATCCTGGGCCAGAAATAGTTTATTCAGCCTTGCATGTCCTGTGGCAATAGAGCATGTACTGCACAGCGATAGTGACTGTGATGCTACCAAAGTATAGAGATTACGCTTTTTTCTCCTGGCATACATTTTTAAAAAAACCTTTTGTTACAAATACAAAGCTCAAAGAAATGGTATCACCAACTAGCAAGAAGAACCAATACCTAATCAGAGACAGTATGGTTTAACATTTTAGAAGTCAGTAAGGGAATTGGGGGGGAAGGGACGGAATAAACCAGAACCTCTACCCACGATGAGAAAGGGCTCACACCTTAAGCCCACAGCACCAGTTTCTTTTGGTGTTTTTTTGTTTTTCACTTTGGCAAGGTGGCTCTAACTCTCATCATTCTTGCCTCCATCTACTGAGTAGCTGGGATATAGGCACTGCACCCCACCAGCCAGTAAGAGTGATTTTTATACTATCATTTTTTCCATTGATATATTCTTAGATAAGGAAAAATTTAGGCTCAAGGAGAAAACTTCAAGCCTGTTTTTTTTTTTTTTTTTTTTTTTTGGTGGGGGGGAGGTTTGGCTAAGAACAGAGTCTCACTATATAGTCAACTGGCCTTGAACTTGTGATCCTCCTTTCTCTTCTCCTGTATGGCTGAGATTTAGCAGGTGTGAGAACACAAGAAGGCTTCTACAATGCAGTTGTAAATACAGAGTTTTCAAATGAAGTCTAAAATCCTAAGTGCTGGCACAGAATTCTGAAAGTAATTTTCAGGACAGGAACTTCCAGAAAACTCTGGCCAGGGTAAACAGCCTGCAGAGGATAACATCTTCTGAATCAGCAGAACCATTACTCATGGTGTCTAAGACGGGATGAGAAACTCATCTCATGTTGCCCAGTATCTCCCTAACTGTCACCAGGAAAAAAACCCTTGTTTTAAGGAAAAAGATACACCTAGGAGGTTGGCATTTTTAATTTTAAATTGTTCATTATATACCAAAACTCACAACAGGACTTCTTTCTTTACCCCAAATTTAAAGAATTATTGCTTATGTTCCACTGTTAAGAATAACTATTAACATGCTAATAATATGCAAACGATTAAATGATTACCCATTTAAACAGGAGCCTCATTTTATTTACAAATAGTTAATTCCAAAGCAAAGCCAGAGATGTCATAACTCAACAGGCATTGTTTCACTAAAAAATCTTAATTAGTCTTACACATAATATAGAAACAATGGTAAGCACAACTTACTGCTCAATACTAGTTTCTAAACTGTCACAGAAAAATAAATTAAACAAAAGATTAGGCATCTAAAAAAAAACTATTAAATATACTCTTACATAATCACTCCTAAAGAATTTGAAAATCTATAAGTTAGGCTTCTAGGGTTTTTTTGGGATTGTTTTTGTCGTACTGGGGTTGAAGGCTAGGCAGGCGCTCTACACCTGAGCCACTCCTCAACCCTCTAATTTACTTCTTGACAAACTTTGAACTCATTTTTTCTTCAATCAATTATACTATGCAAATTTCGGCGTCTCACCATGTATTTTTAGTTTTTAAGACTATTATAATTTTGTTTAAAATAAGCATTATTGGCCAAGGCAGCGAAGAGTGTCACACAAAACGTCTGAGCATCCTCCACCTCTTCGCGGTACCCAACACACACCGCCGTCAGCCGGCATCCACCCCAAGCGACCGCAGCCCCAGAGTCGTGACTAGTGATGAACCAGGCTGTGACCCAGATTTATTCTGTATACCTAATCATTATGCCGAAATTTGGAAAAGGTGTTTTTTCCTCATGGACTAATTATGAACAGGACTGAAGGACTTCCTCAAAATGTGATGAGAGAAATGGAGGCCATCACTTTGTAGCCCTCTGTGTGCTCAAGGAGGGCTATAAATTCTTTGCCAACCTGCTGGATTACATCAAAGCACTGACTAGAAATAGTGATAGATCCATTCCTATGACTGTAGAATTTATCAGACTGAAGAGCTACTGTAAGGACCAGTCAACCGGGGCATAAAAGTAAATTGATGGAAATGATTTCTCAACTTTAACTGAAAGAATGTCTTGATTGTTAAGATATAATTGACACTGGCAAAACAATGCAAACCTTGCTCTCCTTGGTCAAGTAGCATAACCCAAAGATGGTCAAGATTGCAAGCTTGTTGGTGAAAAGGACCTCTGAAGTGTTGGATATAAGCCAGATTTGTTGGATTTGGAATTCCAGAAAAGTTTGTTGCTGGATATGCCCTTGACTATAATGAATACTTCAGGGATTTTAATCATGTTTGTGTCATTAGTGAAACTGGAAAAGCCAAATACAAAGCCTAAAATGAGAGTTCAAGTTGAGTCCAAAAACATGAGGCGTCCCATTGACATCACCAGTCAAATTATGAAATGTTCTAGTTCTGTGGCCATCTGCTTAGGAAAGCTTTTTGCATGAACCTTCTAAGAATTTATGTTTTATATTTTAGAAATGTCAGTTGTTTCATTCCTGAACTATTTATTTGCACTATGAGCTATAGGCAGATTATCAGTTCCCTTTGGGTGACTGTTGTTTAATTTATGAATGAAGAAAAATCTATTAAAAGTACATCATGATTAAATTATAATATTGAAATTGTGTCTGTAAAAAACATTTAAAGCAAAGATACATTAATTTTTTAATTGGTATTTTAATTTTTATATTCAGGAAAGAATAGAAGTGATTGAATATTGTTAATTATACCGCTGTGTGTTTAGAAAAGTCAGAAGCAGTCAGTTTTTACATCAGTGACAGAATCTAAGAGGTTTTGTTCAGTCTAATAAGCCTATTTCAGTAGTGTTGACTGTATTTTCCACTTACTCAGATTATCTATGAATCTTTGTCAACAGTTCCTTTTAAATGTAAACAAATAAATTCCAAAAAAATAGCTTTATTGGGTGAATTTGATCAAAGTACATTATATTGTAAACATCATAAACAAACCCTTTTATACAATTAAATTATGCTAATAAAAATTTAAAATAAAATTAATTAGATAAAAGACTTAAAAGCCATGTATGACTCTTACCAGTGAATTAAAGATCACAGTAACAACAATCTTGTGTCACCCAGACCTGTGGATAGCTGTAGAGGTCACCAGAAGAGTGCCCAGACTAAAGAAGGAAATGCAGAAGTCGCAACAGGCAGCAGGGTGAGAATCCAGGCAGCCAGAGGAAAATTGAAAGCATACATAATTGTCAGAGGCAACAGATAAGGATCTGAGATGATAAGAAAAGAAAATCAACATAAGAAACAGAGAAACACATCAGAAGGCAGACCAAATACAGAGCAGAGCAAGAAAACACTGATTATTTATGGGTTAGCTGAGCCTTGGCTTCCTAAGTGGTAGGATGAGGTAGCAAATGGAGACAAGTTTCTGAAACCTAGTGAACTTTGACAACAATACAATAATGAGATAGAGGTTAATAAATATTGCTAAGAGCACTACTCAGGTCCAAAAGACCAAGAGGGAAAAAGAGAGACGTTAATGAAACTATATGCTTGTATTTATTCAGTCACTTATACTATTCCCTATTTGCTTAAGAACTTCATCTGGCTTTGAAGACTAATGCTGCAAAAGGCAAAGAAGACTCATTGAATAATTTTTGGAAGATAGGATTTACATTATCAAATGTAGAGGTTCCCATCAGCTTAGATCATTACTGAATTGTGTTTTCCACTCTATCCTCCTTCTATGTTTAGAGAACTTTGCCTTCTCATCACAGACATCAGCAGCACTGTAGGGTGACACCTGCAACCCCCAAATCATAAGCACAGGACTCAAGGCTATTTGAGCTGCATGCCCTGTCACCATGTTCAGTAGCCACTGATCCTTCCCACAGTGTCCTGAACCCTTGCTCACACTAATAAACTAATATCCACACAACACTGTAAATTGGTAAATCTCTCATTTATCCCTCACAATTAGCCTAGGAAGGGAATGTTTATTGTTCTAGTTAATGAATGAAAAAATCAAGGCACAACCTGGCCAAGATAACTCAACTAATAAACAACAGAATTCAGTCTCAGAGGTAATATAAAATTTTTACATAAAAAGTCAGATGTAGACATGAAGATCTTCTGTCCCCAAGTGCAGCTCTAGGTTAAAACTGTCTAAAATAATCTACGACTCTTGGACTCTGGTTACACCTTAGAATCCTTTCCCCTTGACTTCCTGCCACTTCAAGCCTTTGTGATTCTTAGTTTGGACAACCAAATAAGCAAAATGTTAGAACTACATAAGTGCCATATGTCTAAGGACTGTGATCACTCTGAAACGTGACTCATTTGGTTCTACTAAATTAATTGTGCCAAACTGCAAGGATTTCCATGTAGATATTCCGAAAATGATAGCTCTGTGCTTATTCACAACTATTTCCATTTAATATGAACTCAAGTGGTTAAAACCAATTCAAAGTGAGATTCTATTTAAAAAACAAGCCTAGCATGGTGGTACACATCTGTAATCCCACCTAGTCAGGATGTAAAACCAAGAGACCCTATCAAAAACGAACTAAAGCAAAAAGGGGGAGGGGCATGACTCAAGCATGAGGCCCTGCATTCAATCCCTAGTTTTAAAAAAAATTCAACCTCATGCACATTATAAGCCTTTATTTTTATTTTGAATCTAAAAGTCTCTTTTCTTAAATTCGGGATCGGTATGGATCCCAGTTCAAATATGACCTGCCACCTGTTTTTATATGACCCATAAGAATGGTTGTTACCTTTTTGAATGGTTTTTAAGAATCAATATTCATAATATGAAAATTATATGAAGTCCAATTACGGTCCATGAGTAAAGTGTCAGTGGAAAACTCCATGCTCACTCAAGTATAACCCAAGGCTGTCATGCTGCAGTTAGTGGCTGAGCTGAGCAGTTGCCCATACAAACACACAAGGCACAATACGTAGTATCTGTTCCTTTACAGGGTATGTAAATAAACACAACTTGTACCAGAATGTGATTTTGAAGTATCAATCCCCCATTTTTAAAAAAATCAGATCTCCTTAGAGAAATGATTGATTCCAGGCATGTGGAAAAGCAAATATAAACCTAGAACTAAAAAATAAGGAACTGCTCAACAAAATGATGGAGTCAAATCAAAGTGACACAGAATCCAGCGTAAAGAGATTCATACAGGACAAATCTCAGAAAACTTGAGCATCAAAATAGATGACACTAATAGATTTTAACCCATGGAATAAAGTAAAAAATGAGGCACCCATGCTGACAATACGCAAACAAATAAATAAGAAGTTTGGGGGTTTTAGTTTTTGGTTTTGACCCTGCTAGGGACTGAACCCAGAGCCTCATGCAGGAGTGCTTTTTTTTTTTTTTTTTTAACAATAGAAGGTTTCTATTGTTATAAAGAATATTAGAAAAATCATCACTTTGCCACCATTACAGGAAAAACTTACTCAGTCAAAATATGTGTAAATAGATATTAGCTCTGTGGGGTATAAGGGAACAGGATATTTTCATGAAGTCAAAGTATCTCCCCACAACTCTTTATTAAATACAAAGAGAAATACACAACCTGTCTCTCAACATGAGGAGACATTGGGGGGAAAAAAAGGGATCGTCTATAAAAGACTAAAAAGTTAATCTAGACTTCAAAGATTATAAAGGCAGGACAGTTAAATGAAAAGTATAGTCTTGGATTGGCCCTGTTGTGCAGGGAGGGGAGACACTGTTAGTACAATCAACAGAAATGCATGCAGTTTAGCTTTAAAGTACTGAAGTTAGATTTCCTGTACCACAGTTATACACAGAGGATTATACATAGTAATTACCCTCTGAAGAATTAAGGAGTAAAAAAGATGTGTGTGTGTGTCTGTGTGTGTGTGTATGTGTGTGTGTGTAAAAGTACACAAGAGGAAAATGTAGCAAAATGTAGCAAATAGTAAAACTTGGACATGTAAGTGATATTGATTATTTATTACTATTGCAATCTTTCCATATATTTGAAATTATCTCAATTTTAAAAATTTATCAACTATGTATGCTATCTCTCTTTTAAAGTGAACAGCTTGAATTACGTTCCACTTTCTCCTTTGCTACCACGCCCTCAGTCTCCACAGAGCTAGTGACCGGTGCTCAAAGGCAGGCTCATGTTAACGAGGCACTTTTTGAAAAGTAGAGACACCCACTCCAAACATCAGAGGTCAACACCTAAAAAATCCACACATGCTTGCAAGACTTCCAAAGCCTTTCCCTGCTGACATCAGAGAGGCACTGCTGATGTGTCTCATGTCCTGAGCCTCCCCTGAACCATCCCACATGACTTCCCGACTCAAAGATTTTTCCATTTGGTCACTGGCTCAACGTGCAGCACAGTCATATCTTTTGCAGGGCTAAAAATAGCAACTCTATCAAGTGGGAAGTTAAAGTACCATTTACAGTTAAGATAACCTCCCTAGGACTATTTCTCTAACAATGACAATGCATCATCAAATCAGGATTTGGACAAAATAAGGGCACACAACACACTGTGTGCACGCAGACTATCACTAAGTCTTATTCCTAACACTTAGTCTTAGCGTTAGGAATGCCAGCTCTGGAGTCAGATTTCTTGGACTCAAATCCTGAATTTGTCTAGTTGTATAACTTTGGGCAAGCTATGTAACCTTCCTGATCCTTTGTTACATCTGGAAAATGGAGCTTACTAATGTTACCTACCATGAACAAATCTCATAGACATCATGTTGAAAAGAAGCCAGAACCAACAGAGTACGTGATGTATGATTATGTAAACTTCAAGAACAAGCAAATGGTGGTAGAGATTAAAATAGTGGTCACTTTGGGGTAGGGGGTGGTAGTGGTGAGAGTACTGACTGGGAAAGGGCACATGGAAGCCTTGGGGTGGCAGAAATCCAATTTCCATCAACTGGGTGATAGTTAGAGGGGTGTTAATATGTAAAAATTCATTAAACCATACATCAAAAATTATACCACAATATAAAAGTAAGTAAAAAGACATAATACCAGCAAATTAAAATCACTGTGAGGCTCAAATGAGAAAATGCATGTAAAGTGCCTAATATATAGTAGCATTCAATATAAGTCAACTGTTACATTTTCTACAGTCAGTGCTAAGGCAGCAGAATTACTCTAGCCCAGGACTCCAGCGGCAATATAGCAAAACACCGTCTCACAAGAAAATTGAAATACTGCATCTGTACTGATCATGTACAGACTATTTTGCTTGTCACTGTTCCCCAAACAAAAATATAACAACTATCTACATATCACTTACATTGCAAGAGGTATTTTAAGTAATCTAGAGAAGATTTAAAAGTGTACAGGAGAGGTGCATAGATTCTATGCATACACTGATATTTGCACTACTGGAGTTTGAACTCAGAGCCTCACGCTTGCTAAGCAGGTGCTCTTCTCCTTGAGACACTCCACCAGCCCTGGCTGTGCTATCTGTATAAAAGACTTGAGCATGGGGGCTGCGGGGGGGGGGGTCCTGGAACCAATACCTGCATAGACAGCAAGGGACAACTGTAGTCCTTATAACAGAATTATTTTTTTAAGTTTACCTTCTTTCTACTTCTCCTTAGTTTTATAATATTCATACCACTTTAAACTTCTTGATCTTACCTTTGAAACTCTATATTACTCTCTTTATACTTACACAAAGAAATTATATTATTCAGATAATTTTGAATACCATTTTTAAAGAAAGGTAGCCAAAAGTCTGTGCAGTTAGAAGTTAACATTAAATCACTAGAAATCAGCCTGAAAGTCACCAGGTGTTGAACCTACAGACCTAGAAAATGTTTTGTGGATGCTGAGTAGGCACCAAGCTGTCATTTTCAGTAAGTTCTAAATTCTAGAAGAGGTTTAAACCAAAGCGAAGAAATTCAAGGAAGGGCAAATAAAAAGTGATGTCTTCTGATCATCTTCTTAACTGAAAATGGAACATTACAAATTCATGCATCCCTGCTGTGCCAGCTCTCACTCTGAAGATCATTTCTAACTTTTTTTCTGTTTTTGTTTTTTTTTAGTTTTGTTGACAGATCCTCACTATCTAGCCCAGGGTAGCCTTGAACTTGTGACTCTCCAGCCTCTGCTTTCCCAAGTGCGAGGATTATTTCAACTCATTTCTAATTTTCTTTTACTAAATGCTACCCTCAATTAGGTCACCTTGTTTCTTGTTTTTTAACTTACCTTGATAAAAGCATAGCCAACACCGTTGTCTGTAATGGTGAGCCCCAGAGAGTCCTCAGATTTATACACGTTCACTTCCTTTTTTGTTCCTTTCACATGGGCAAATATGAAATCTTCAAGACCTAGCTGCCCTCCTAGGAGTCTTTTCATGTCAACTTTAGGTGTGTTTAAAGTGCAATATAAGATCTGCAAATAAAATGAAATATTTAGGTCAGTTTCCATCACAATAACATCATGCTCATAATTTGTTCAATAAACATTTATTGAGTGAATCTGTCCTCAATTTGTGATGTAAAAGTCCACATCATAAGAGGTGTTTGCAGGTTGTTGGCTAGATAGACTCTCACACACACTTGCGTGAAGGTTTCCTAGGGGCCAGACCCTGGGTCAAGCAATTTGTATCTGTTAGCACATTGAATCCTCATGATAACTTTATGAAGTACATAGTTATCCCGGACTTACGACAGGAAATTAAGATGTAACAAGGTAAAGTAATTGGCCTAAAGTCACAAAGCTGATACTCATCACAGCCAAAGACCTGAGTTCAGGTCTCACCACCTTCAAAGTGGTTTAAACTGTGTGACCTGCTATCTACAATGCTGAGGTGGGAAACCACATTCCCAAAAGTGGGCATGATAAGTTCCTGTGGGATGTACACACTACAGAGGAAGTGCAAGCAAGCTGACACATGCAAACTGGTAAGCACATTTTTAAATAAGGACCTTTATATTTATCATGCATTATAGTACTTTTAAAAGAGTAATTTAATTAGCGGATGATATGTTAAAATGAAAATGTTTTAGGGCTAAAATGGACCTCAAAGACAAACAAATCCAATCCCTTAACTTTCTTTAAAAAGGAGGGACTGAGATCTGGAGGATTTACAGCAACTTGTCCAAATCACAAAATGAGAGAAAGATAACCGAAAAGTAACAGAACACTGGAAAATTATGTGAAGGTTTTAAAGAGACTTCTTATGTTTACCAAGTTTTTATTTGGCCTAATTTTCCTTCAGAAATATGACTTGTATGGCTCAAGCAGTACAGCACATGCCTTACAAGCACAAAGCCCTGAGTTACAACTCCAGTACCACCAAAAAAAATCAGTGCCACTCTTAAATTTGTTAACCATAACCTAGGCAATATGGGGACCCAAATACAAAATTATGGAAGAAAAGAGAGGTTGAGACCCTCTCATTAGTTTAAAAGCTGAGTGCAAGAGCCAGGTGCAATGACTCAAGCCATAATCTCAGCTACTCAGAAGGCAAAAAATTAGTGAAATCTCATCTCAACCAATAATCCAGGCCTGGTGTTTCACACCTGTAATCCCAGCTACATGGGAGGAGGACCTTGGTCTAGACCAGCCCTGGGCAAAAACTGACCTGAAAAATAACTAAAACAAAAAGAGGCTGGAGGTGCAGCTCAAGTGGTAGAGAGCCTGCCTAGCAAACGTGAAGCCCTGAGTTCAAACCCCTGGTACCACCAAAAAAAAATTTTAATTCAATAAATATTCATTTAGTACCTTCTATGTATCAAACCAAAAAGGAAAATTTTAATACGGCTTTTCATGCCTAGAAGGATAAATGGAATTTTTTTTAACAAATCTGTTTTGTAATAGATAAAAAGGTTTATTTAGCCCATTGTTTTGTAGGTTCTAAGTCAAGATCAGATGGCTCCATTTGTTTGACCTCTGGTTGAGGACAGCAGGTTGCACACATCATGGTGAAAGCGTGGGGGTGGGGAGTTTACATGGCAAGTCAGAGAGGGAGACTGGAGTCCCACAGTCCCTTCCAAGGGCATGCCCCAATGACAAGAGCCTCCCACTTGGTCCCACCTCCCTTAGAGCCAAGCCTTCAATGACAATGGACCTTTTGAGGACTCAGATCACACCCAACCACAGCGCCTCACTTCAGCCTTCTCTTAACGTCTCTTGTGTCCCTGGTTTCCACCACTCCCGATCCCCACCAGAATCTTGAGCCTTAACACATCCATAATCCTCACAAAACTTGAAAAGAGGGTATAGCTACTACATACCAAATGGCTGTTTAGACCATGTTAAAATGTACCTGGATGAGAAGAGCTCCATGAAATAAAGTTTTCCCTGCTACGCAATTAAAGTTTAGAGTGGTCACAGGAGCTCAGGTCAATCCCAGGGGTGTGAACAGAGCTGGTTATGAGGCAGGGAAATGGCCTCTTTTCATCCTGGGCTTTACTGGGCTTTTAATTTAACTCTCTGTGTTCCTGCCATGGGTAAAATACATTCAGCTTTATAGTCATTATGTTTTTGTAAATATTCTCTAATGTAAAAAGTCAATTCAGCCAAAAATGGTTTCTATTTCTAATTGTAAAATCAATGGCAAAATCATTCCATTGGCAAAAATCACTATGAATTGACAGAGAGGAAGGGGATACACACAGAAGCCAACTTATCTGACTTCCTTTCTCAAAGTCATGAGTCATAAAAGAAACGACATAGTTGTCTCTGGGTTTTTTTTTTTTTTTTCAGTGAATCTGCCAATCATGTAGCATATTCCAAACACTACTTACATAAAATCAACTTGACAATTAAATAAAAACAGGGAAATAAAAGATTAAAACCCAACAACAGTACAACAGGATAAGAGGAAAGCACCCCAGCCACAAAAAAGGAAATCTCACACAATGTGAGCTTCTCCTTGCAAAGCTGCTTCCTTTCTTCCAGTCTAATCACGCTCATCACTGCAGAGCAAACATGAGATTTCCTGTAAGTAGAACCCATTTCCCACTGTGCTTCCTCCCTTCAGAAAAACGCTCCTTGCCAGGCACCCCCCGTTGGCAACTCAGATATCCTTTTCATACTTTTTTTTTTTCCAGAAGGAGTGAAGGCAGTTCTCCCCTTCACTGAGCAGAGTTCCATGGAAGCCATGTTGAGAATCTGCAGGTGAAGTAAGACCTTGATAGCAGCAAGTAACCAAAGCCCAGAACTGCAGATCAGTTCTACACAAGAATAAGAACCCATCAATCACTCCTCACACTGCTATCAGCGGCTTTGTCTCTTAGTGTGTGCCTGAGGTCTAGAGAATCAACCTCGTCCTCATAGAGACTGTATTTTGAACTGAAGAGTAAGACAGTGATACACTACCTTCTAAATGCTGCCTAAGAGGCCACGATGGGAAGGGGACCGGGAAGTAGTGACGAGGTCTGGTAAAGATGAACCAATGTGAGTTGCAATACACAAATGCATGGAAGCAACCCTAGGAATCTCTGTATAGTTATCTTTATCCCAAACTAGCAAAAACACTATGTCTTTCTTATCATCATTTATGTTTTCTCTTCAACAAAATCAGAGAACAAAAGAGTAGAACAGGTTCTGTCCAGAAGCAGGGGAGTCAGGGGGAACAAATAAAAAAATAAAGAAAGAAATACTATCTAGTTCTTCTTCATTCATCTACTCATCAAATACCCAATGAAAACCTACTTTTTGCCAAGCTCTGTGCTGGACACAGGTGTACACAGATGAATATCCCAGTTCCTATACAAAAGCAACTCCCAGGCTGGCAGATGGGACAACACAAAGAGCCAGTTGTGATATAGTAAAGCCATGACTATTTAAATCCAAAGGATCCTCAAATATAGACCATGAACTTTCCTGCCCTTCCTCATACAGTTCTCCAAGTCCCAAACCTAAATACCTGTCCAACTACCCCATCCCATTCCATCCCAACCCATCCCAAGGCCCTTATCTGTTGAGACTGCTCAAATGCGACTGCTAAGGTGGAATCAACCACTCTCTGCCCTGTGCTCACATAGTACAGACCTAGCACCTCATCTGAGTGTCAGGATCACCTTGCCTGAAAGTCCACTTGGTTTCACACATGCACTCGTCATTCTCACGACCATCTTTCTACAACATCTAGCAAGTGCCTTGCGCAGTTTATATCTGAAGGGCATTTAAAGGACACATTCATTTACCTCATCTAACAAAACACATCTGTGTCCTAGGTTATATTACCCTCAGTCTCAGTAGATGAGAAAATTATGACTCTATCCTATTAACACAGCTAGTAAATATTTGCTATTAAGAAGAAACATGAGGCCTGGAGGTGTAGCTCAGTGGTAGAGAGCATGCTTGGCACGAGTTCTAGGGCATCTGTGTTTAGTGGTTTATCACCATCATTGCCTATTTCCATAAAGTAGATGAAGTACTCATGATTATCCCATTTTTTTATTGCCCAACAAGAATATAATGTGAACTGCACAATTTTAAATTTTGTGATAATCACATTAACAAAAATTTTAAGAAGTGTGAATTTAAAGTTATGTTTTAATCATATAACCCAGTATAATCAAAGTATTCGCATTGCTACATATAACCAATTTAAAATTTATAAGATAGTTCATATTTTTGTACTGCATTTTTCAGATTTGGTGTGTTTTTACTCTTGTATCTTATCTCAATTTCGACTAGCCAGACACATTTAAAATACTCAGTATTCGTATTTGGCTAATGTAATCGTATTGTGCGTCTCAACTGTAGATTCCCACACCTTATCAATATTAAGACTTTGTGTGTTTCCCATTTCTATTTATCTGATTATGTCACTTCCTTGGGCAAAAATACCATATCTTGAACCTAATTTCTAAACCCAGTCTACTATATCTGCCAAAATCTTCCCCATCCAGTGAAGCCTGAGTAAATTTTCCTGTGATTATCACTCTAGGATAATGTTATTTATCTTCTACATACCTATGAGATTTCATGCAACTCTTGTGGTACTTACCACCATATGACACTTTGTAAACTTTTAGTAGGTAGGGATTTTATGACATTGTGGTTGTCTTACTGTATGCCTATCACTGTGCCTTATCTACTGGCAGGGATGGATTAATTGAAGAAAGCCATTGCCCTTCGGGGCCACACAATGGAGGTCCTTGAATTGTTATTACTGTGTTGGACATCAGTATTTATAGTATCTGTTCCCTGTTCCCAAAATATTAGTTTGGAAACTTCTTCTCCCTCTTCAGCCACATCAGGGCTTAGGTGGGAGTGACCATACCCTCAATTCCATTAAGAACGAAGCATAATTAAGTTTAAGTCACTAAATGACTAATTCACAATGCAATTTAGGCCAAGAAGATCCTAGTTGTCACGAGTATGTACTTTTGCTCTGCCATGTCCTCCCCACCATGATGTTCCTCCTGAACTCGGGCCCAAAGTAATGCAGCCAGCAGACCATGGACTAA